CTGACTTTTAATTTGAATTCAGCCGTGTTTTAATGAAAATACGAAAATAGATAAAACATTTTGAGGTCAAATTCTTTTTTGTACAGGTAACTGTTACTACGACTACAGTTCACAATTCCTAACTGCTGTGTTGGCCTGTGACGTGATACGAAGAGGCGTCAGTAGAATGTGTGAGTGATTCCAATGAAACGTAATATTTTCTCACTTTGCCTACATACTCCTACAATCAAGTTAGGCATGTAACCAGGAACTTAATTTTAGGTCATATTTTGCAGCCCTACGTTTCACCAATAAAGTTTGCTACTGATGAGTCTGACGCCTCAACTGTCAGTCACAAAAAGAAATCTAGTAAAAACGTCTCAAATTCAAAAAAATCAAGGAAACCTACCCAAACTCAGGTAAAGTTCCAGTATTAAACACTAACTTAGAACTACGAGAGTAGAATTTATAGAAGGCCGAAGAGCAGTACGACAGGTTGATGAACATTTTTTATTGTTTCAGAAACGCACGAAATGCCAGAGGAGTTACAAAACGCGTTCCTACAATAAATATTTCTCAGATGATTATTGGCGTAATTTGTCAAAACACAGTTTTGGATTCAGGAGAAGAGTGGCAACCAGGGCGACCGAGCCCTGGCGAAGTATTGCTAAATTCCCTTCTTGTAGAAGCTGCGAGCTCAGCGAGAAATCCTCTTGCAGCATTTGGCCATCGTTTTCGAAAACTAATTTGTCTGACGAATGTGCCTGCCATTTGAAAGTGGCAAACCCTATGTTGAAAATTGGCCAGTACATAGATAAATTACTAAATGACATCGACGATTGTAAACGCTTGTGAAAATTGTTTATATTCGTTCAATAAATGTAACCTGTGACATCAGTTTTGTTTGATTTTTTTAGTCCGTTGGTTCGTTCTTAAAACTTCCTTATGCGCGTGCGCATTCTTTCACCACGTCCCAAATAGACATCTATTTTATTTATAACATTCTGTTCAACTTACAATAGTTTTAAAAGTATTGAGTAAAGTATAATAAAAACGCAAGTTTAACAAATATGTAACACTTTAATACACTGGTCGTTATACAACAGCGAATTTCAGTTAGTTACATTATTCATTTTTTTTAGTTTTCACGTCGACAATATTTCATAAGAATGTATCCCCTTCACCTCTGAATAAATTCGTATCAACTATATCATGCCACGTGGGAGTAAATGGAATAAAATATGGAAGCTATTTCATATCAACATAGATCGGTGATATAATGAAAGATGGGAATTATCATCTGTAACTTAATAACTTTTATACTGTTTAAATGAACACATCAATGTAAAGGCCTGGAACTATATTTACACAATTATTATTAAGAACACAGATGTTTCTAATATGATTGGTAATAACATTTATAAATATTGCTTGATAAGTGAGAACTACTATAACATGTATAATGGTTAGGTCAAAACTGTTGTAAAGTATTAATTTAGAAAGCACTTAGCAGGCTACAGGGTGAATGTGTCTGTATAATACCGTGGTATAATTAAAATCAAATGTAGGTAACTGGCAATACTTAAAAAATTCTACCGATGCGTTATTTAACGGAAACGTGTTACAATTTCTTGGAACATTAATGAATTTAAGTTTTTTTGTGATTTTTATGGGACTTATGCTAACTAAACGGTTATTTCTTATGTAAATAATATAATTTACAAGTGGATTTTGAATCTGGCAAAACAATTCTTTCGATTTGTACATATTAAATAATTATATGTATTTTCATAAGAAATGGGTTAACGTAATCAATTAAAAAGATTTATACAGGGTGTTAGGTAAATGGGTATATGAGCCGACACTAGCCCATGTTAGTTAACATGGGCATATAAATGGTATGGTGAAGTCAGAAAATTTATATCTTCATTTTAATTATTTTATTTTTCATACAAATCGGATTTTATAAAATTTATTTTGTATGAAAATGAAAAAATTTAATGATGATATCAAATTTCTGACTTCACCATACCATTTATATGACCATGTTAACATGGGCTAGTGTCGGCTCATATAGGTACCCATTTACCTAACACCCTGTATAAGTTACTTACACAATTCTTCTTCTTTATTTCTGCTATAATTGCCGTATTTACAGTTTACATTACTTAAAATGGTATATTTTAGACTAAGAACTCATGGTTTTTTCGTCCCCGTGGTAGTTACAGAATAGTAATTTTATCGTAAGACTCAAGGAGTCAAGGTACAGTCGGCGTCAGATATATCGGAGCAGACAAAGTGACCAAATACTTCTGAACAGTTTAAAATGTCAATAAGTTCCATACACTACAAGTTACCATTAATATCTGAAACAGGTATGTGTGTCGTCACGCACGTCATGTGTCTCATTTACCCAGCTGCGTAGATACACTTGACATTATGAGTGTTCAGATATTATTTGTTAGTTGTGTGTGTTATTGTATGTATGATGTATGAAACTTATTGATATTTTAAACTGTTCAGGAGTATTTGGTCACTTTGTCTGCTCCGATATATCTAACGGCGACTGTACCGACTGCAGGAGTATTTACGGTAATATAAAATTAGCAAATAAAACCGTGACTTTAAATGTGCCCTTACTAAAAAATAAACATATTACCAATCAACCACAGAGCGTAGCTCCATAAGTTCTCAGCCTGACTTATTGCCGTTTTATGTTCCACCAACCACCAACATAACTTGCTTATTTAACATTTCACCATTTATCTAACAATGTGAACGCATCATCTATAGTTAACATTCGTATCAATCGATTCATAAATAGACATTACATATTAAGTTTAAATATTAAGATTACTCGTATTATACGCCGAAATGTATATTTGTATCACATAATCATCTAGTATTATGTAAGTAAAAATCTTTTGGGGCTTTGATGTGCGTTTCAGTTCGCCAGCGATCATCCTTTCTCAGTTGTGTCGATCAAAGCCCGTGTATAGTTAAATTGATAAAAGTGCTCCGCTTTTGTGCTATGACAAGAATTTAAAGATATTACTATGCCTCAATATCTCATTATACTTATAACTTTATATTTTGAAAGTTCTTGGTTTAGGATATTGCTAAAATTTTAGGGTGGATATGAACTGCGTCTAACTTATGCAATCTATGCATCGGTCACCATATTACCGAAATATTAATTTTACAAACTAAAACTATAATTACATGGTGCCCGTTGTCATGGTATTTTTAAAATAATATTACAGCTTTCGATCATTTACAACAATAATGGCATTAGCTAATGATGCGTAGCTAAATATTTTAACAAACAATTAGCTACAAAGCTGGACCGTTAAAGAACTGAATAAAATTACTTTTTAAAATATCCAGTACCTGTTTAGACGTAAAAAGTTCATAAAAATCAATACACTGTTATACAAAAATAAATACGTAACTAGGATAATCATTGATATTATACAAAATTGATTTCGCGTACATTACAATACGAAGTAAAATTTACAAAAATTGACTTCATGAAACACTCGTTGCTTTATCTTAAGGAGTAAGGTCAGTTGCAAGAGCTATCCTTGTTATCACATACAGAAGTAGAACTGAAAAAGTGGATAATTTTTTGTGCAACTGACATTACAAATATTGACCTTGCAAAGGACGCAAACGGGCAGACTTGCTGAATGCTTAAAACGATAAAGGAAATATGGAAGAATTATTTATAAAGAAGGATCACTTATTAACCCTTTCTATATTTAATTCGTCTGAATGTAATTTGTCCTATAAGTTTAGGGTTGCATGCAAGAATCTTAAAAATATTAAATATGTCGCAAGATTTAAAAATGTTGGTGAAAGAGACAACGCGTATAAAACGTCACCATTTAAGCCTTGTCTCTTTCACTTCTCAACTCTTCAAAATTCGACTGATGGATAATATAAAAATAAAATTGAACAACGTAAAATTTACTAATTCAAAAATACATACCTAACTATTTTTATGTTTGTGTTTAACATTTTTCCTCTAAGTTAGTTCATTATTTATAAATTAGCTATAATATTTTGAATCAGTCAGCAGTTGGATAGTTTAGTTGTAATAAAATATGTATTCATTTATGCTCGATGTAAAGAATTGCATAAAAAGAGGCCCAAAAACATAGATGTAGACAATTCAAGGTACAATAAAAGCCAATTATGAAGGTATTTAACAAAACTACTGACTGCGTTTTACCTCGTCGCAACACTGCCACATTTCATTTTTATTTGTTTTTATCTAATTTCCTATTTTTATAGCAATTTCATCAAAAATACTAAATTAAAAAATCAAAACGATTCGTTTTTCAATAATTTCGTATTCAAAATCATATAAATAATGTAATGTGATAGTTTTGCGCATCACAGAATTTACGCTTTTAATTGCGATCGCAGAGGAACACGATTCACATCTTTTAGCAAGTTTTGACTAAGAACAAGCTGCGGGCTTAGTTTATAAAATTATTTATTAGCTAATTAAGTGTGCACAAGAAAGCTAAGGACTACTTAATACCACTTAATTCAGTATTGACGTACAATAAATCATTAGAGTAAAATATTTTGTAAATTTAATTGTGTAATAAGTTTTGTGTTGGGTATTTCAATGACTTATTTCTCTATTTGAATTAAAAATTGATGTACATCAACATCAGGACTATGCAATGCTTTGCTTTCTTGTTCACTTTCTTTCACAATTTCGCTACATAGATTGCCTGTATCGTGGTTGCTTGCTACTTACCGTGTGCGCCAGGTGTTTCGCGGTGTCCTAAGTCAGCGCGGAACGCAACGCTATGTGACGGGACACGATTATACGCCGTATATTGGCACGTAGGCCGCAAGTAAGAGATGTTTTTATTTATTTATTTATTTATACTTCAATGCCAAAATTTTTAACATTAGGCGAACTTAATGCCATAAGGCATTTTCATCCAGTTTACGTTTGGGTTATGCAGAAAAATTACATGAAGAGATGTATATTTTACTAGCTTTGATTTTTGTCTCTCACAGAAAAACTTTATCGCGCGCGTCCCTGTTTCAAAAACCGGGATAAAAACTGTCCTATATCCATTCCCTGGACCCAAACTATCTATATGCCAAATTTCATCAGATTCGGTTCAGTGGTTTAGGCGTAAAAGCAAGACAGACAGAGTTACTTCCGCATTTATAATATTAGTATAGATAATCGCGCTCGTCGCTGATTTAGGACACAGTGCTACAGTGTCCGGCTTCCGAGCCTAGTTGCCAGGCGTTGTCCGGCCTAGTTGTCCGGCGGGTAGTCGAAGTAGTCCAGCTTGTCCTGCGGCGGCGGCTGCGGCTGCGGCTTGGGCTGACTACGCGCGGCCCACGCGTTCGTGGACGTCAGCGTTGCCCAGCCGGACGGTCTGGAGATACGATAGCAACAATAATGTGGTAACTTAGTGTTAGTTAACCTACCTGTGGGCATTTCTAAGAGTTCCATCTGAAGGGATACTCCATAAACATTTAGAGAAATAGCGAGTCTCTCGCAATAAAGTCAATTTAGTTAGCTCAGTGTTATGAATGAATTTATTAATCTTCTCTCTGCAGACCTATCTTTCTTCCGATACGGTAGGATTGTTAATTTTTACGACGCGGCTCGCGTACGTGACCATCGTCAACGCATGTTTCTACCTCATTGCCACAAGCCTCCCGGGAGGATCCCTCCACTTTTCCATAGCCACACCAATCTAACGGTTATACCTGGCCGGATCAGGATGCCTATAGGATGTTAAAATAATAATAAAACTAGCTAGCATCGTTTTATTTATGAAAAAGAAAGTTTTATTCTTTTTCTTGGTCCTTCGAGCCGGATATGAACCAACGACCTATGGTATAAACTTGGTCTTCACTTGGATTTTTATTGGGCATAATCCCAATCTTAGGGCTCTCACTCACGGCGACTTTTTGTAGCGATGCAGTCGCGCTGCTGTAACGTGTAGGCATCACTTCTGTAGTGCGTTGCAAATGCGACTAAAGCGCGTTAGTAGCGATGCAAAAGGTCGCCGTGGGCGAGGGCCCTTACAGGCATGCACGAATGTGACTGGTAGTACTCACTTGTTGCCGGCGGCGGCGGCGGCGGCGCTGGAGGCGGCGGGCGGGCGCAGCACGGGCCCGGGCACCTTGCGCTTGCCGGCCTCACGTTGCACGACTTCCAGTATGCTCATCGCGGGCAGCCACGACTGTGCGGAACAAATTATTTTATTAGTTACCACCGCCACTGACTGATCCTTTTAATACTGGAGCACGCGGCTTTCATGCATGAAAACGGCATAATATGCGCCATAAACGCTACCTCCTCGAAGCGTATAATAACGCGATTTCGCTTCACGTATGAATCGTTTGTTTGAAAAACCTCTGAATGAAAAATTGATACCAATTGCGATTCAGTTGTTACTTATTAAAAACTTGGTGAATAATATTTCAGTTCAGCACAGCCTGACTAGTAGAAAACACAGTATACATGGTGTAATTTGTAATGCCACCTGGAGGGAAAGTCCTCTTAATACTGTAGATAGAAAAGTTTACTGAAAGAAAACATTTCTTTAGTTTTGAAAAGAAAGAGAACTGCATTCATGGATTTTCGAAAAATTTTCGTAAATTCACTACCATACCATACAATTTTCTGTAAATCTAAATAATTAAGATAATTTAAGATTTCATGGTTTTTGTTTAATTTGATTTATCAAGTTTGTTAGAGAGATTTCATCCTTATATCCCTAACGATCGATGCAATAAAAATACGGGATGTAATTTTTAACAGATTTTAGTTGGTTCGATTCCCGGGTGTAGCAAGCAAATTGATGGAAATCTTTGAATGCCTATTTCTTGTCAAAAATAAAGGAATGTTTTCGTTGAGAATTTTTATCTATCAATACTAAGAGTACTTTCTCTCCAGGTGGCATTACAAAATTCCACCCTGTATAGCAGAAGGTCATCGCATTTTTGTTGCAAAATAGCTCTTATTACAAAAACATAAAATTGTGCCGTGCTTTCTCTTGGTCGGCGATCCGAACACATCCTTATTGCAATATCGCACTTATTCCGACTACACAAGGTACCTTCTCGCGGTCGGCGGTGGCGACGACGTTGCGGTTGGGCTCGGCGTCGTAGGCCACGCTCTCGCAGCCGAAGTGCTCGCACAGCTCGTGGATGAACTGCCGCTTCTGCCAGTTCATTGATGGGAACGAGTGAGCGCGCGTCTTCTGCTTCGACTGGTGGGCAAAATTAATGTATAGTTAATATAAGTTTGAGTCAAAGTACTATGATTACAAAACTATTTGCTAATAAATCAAATGTTAAGTTTAATATTATTCTATGTTAAATGCTATGCCTATGCTATGCCAGTGCGGGCGCACTGCGCGAGCGCGCATTAATAGTTGCGCTTGTATTCTCTAGAGAAGGACTTCCCAACCTTTTTTACTGTGATGCCCTTGCAAGATGTGGTGCTTGTTTTATGAGCATAGCTTCTTAAAATAGGGCTCAAGTTTGGAAATTGCTACTCTCACCTCTTTTTCTACATTTATTTTCGATCGCCTCAAGACGTCCTCGAAATAACGCCTGACGCCTCAGAGCGTGGCGACTAACAGTTTGGGAAGCCCTGCCCTAGAGGAAAAACTAAAGCAATAAAAAATATCCAAGGACATAATCTCGTTTACCTTCTTGGCAAGGTGCACGAGCTCCGTAAGCTTATCATGTATCTGCTGCGCGAACGCAGGCTCGCGGGCAGCCGTAGCCCGCAGCGTGTCGCTGTAGCGCGGCGCGAGCTTGGCCGACACGTCGGGGTTGCGGATCTGCAGCGCCAGCGCCATCTGCCGCGTGCGCGCCTCCACGCGGCACTCGTCGTCGCAATCCAAGCTGGAAGGAACCCTATTGTTGTGGGCGGTAGATCTATTTTCGTAATACACTAAAGTCTGTTCGCCGAGAGTTGATAAATATTATGAAATGTCTTGCAATAGCGACTGTCGCTTAATTATCGCATTCTGTATGGCGGGCGTCGTTTGTCACAACGCGCACTGAGTACCATGGTACGAGCCACGCAGCTGTCGTCAAGCGCCCCGGCCGGCGGGCCGCAATGTGTGAAACGGAATAGATTTATTTTACATAAGACCGAAATGAATGGTATGACAGTGGGTAGGGCTTTGCCCAACATTGGGATACACTATAAGTCACTTGATAATAATGAAATACTTTTTATCCAACACAGGGACGCCACGTGTTTGATCCGTATCCCCACGTATGCCCTAACCGGAATAATTTCCGTAAATTTAAAAGAGATAATAATGATAATCTACCAACTTTTTCATTATATCGAGAAAAATAATTAGCGGGCCGCAATTTATAATGAGTTTAGAACATCTGATATTTAATTTTTTTTATCAACTCTCGGCGAATAGACTTTAGCTAAAGTACAGCCAACGAGAAGCGATACCAAATGTAAACAAACCCAATGTCATGGGTGAACCTGTCTGACTTTGACATATTTTGGCGGGAGAACGAGACATTACGACAAATACACAAGATGGGAAGAGACAGAATATATTGTCAACTCGACAGTCGTATCGACCTTTTGTATCGCTCCTAGTTGGCCGTACTTTAGCACTATTTATTTTATTCCCCTTAATTGATATTTATTGTCCGTGGTGCATAATCTTTTCTTAAAGGTTTTAAACCTTTGTTTGTCACCTGTCATCCGATTTGCAATGGAGGGAAGTCGAACCTTAATTTCGAACTCCTCCTATGTTCTTCTGATTAATTTCGTTGCGGGTCCAATGACAGTTTAACATTCCCCCGGGATAAACTTGACCTTCATTGGTTGGGTTTTTATGGCGGTCAAGCTGTAGATCCTGGCTACACAGGAGTTGCAATGGTGGAAACGAGAGGTGGGAATAGTCCCGTTATTGTTAAAGGAGGTAGATCTATTTTCGTAAAATTCTAGCTGGCACTAGTTATAAATATTAATTAAGTTGGGAAAAGAGATAAGGTAACTTACGTTTTGAGCATGGAGCCTGGACGTTGAACGTCGGATAAATCGACGGAACCGCCTTCTTGCATTTTAGTCGCGGCCAGCGCGCTCATCATCCTGTCAGAGAAAACACAGCGGTCAGAACGAGGCTTCCACGCAACAGTAAAACATTTTCATGTGTTTAGATTCGACACTTACACAAACAACCACGAATTCAGGGTGTTAGCTATCTTCTTAGCTCCTTATCATAAGGTTCTGTTCTGTTACTATTTAATTTATACCCGTTTTCACCATCAATCCCTAATTTTTATGTGACCCATATGAAAACAAAATTTCATATTATTTGTTACCACAGGGGTCACTTAAAAATTAGGGATTGATGGTGAAAACGGGCATTAGTCTGCCAAGTTGCTACATAACGAATTATTGTCACCGAGGGATAGGGGACTGCGGCAGGGTGGCGGCGCAGGTCAGGGGGCGCCGTCACATGGTGCCAGAGGAAACAACATTCATTTGTTTTAGTCTCGCGTTGTCGGCGCACGCGCCGTCACCTAGTAGCAGGGGGCACCATCACCTAGTAGCAGAGGACGTCGTCACCTAGCGTCAGAGGAGGCCACTCACTTGTTGTAGTCCCTGGCGTTGTTCAGGGCGCGCCGGTGCCGAGTGGCAGGGGTGACGTCACCTAGTGGCAGGGGAGCCGCTCACTTGTTGTGGTCGCGCGCGTTGTCGGCGCAGGCGCGGTCGGCGGAGCGGCGGCCGCAGGCGCAGGTGGCGCGCACGGGGCGGCGGCAGGGCGCGGCGCTGGGGCAGGGCGCGCCGGTGCCGAGTGGCAGGGGTGACGTCACCTAGTGGCAGGGGAGCCGCTCACTTGTTGTAGTCGCGCGCGTTGTCGGCGCAGGCGCGGTCGGCGGAGCGGCGGCCGCAGGCGCAGGTGGCGCGCACGGGGCGGCGGCAGGGCGCGGCGCTGGGGCAGGGCGCGCCGGTGCCCGAGTGGCAGGGCGCGGCGCACGGGTGCCCGCAGCTGGGGCGCTTCTCGTTGCACGGCTGAGTGCATCTAAGGAACATAAACCATAAACAGTGATAGTGATCTCCCTAAAATTAAATGACTATTTTCTGTGTCTCAGTTAGTTCTAAAATACTACGAACCTATAGTATACCTAATTCTTTCTGTATTTGTGTTATGTTTTGTGTACAAGCCATACCAAGATGTCGAAATGTCGTTAAAAAAACAGTATGTATCATTTAATTTTGTTTTTTTGAAGTCTAATTGCCAAAATGTCTCCAACTCTCATTTAATGTCGTTAAATTGCTACTTCAATCATGATTTAATAAACAGAGTACTTAATTACCTATTTATTATCTGTTTTTTACCTATACCTGTGCATAATATAGCAAGTAGAATTCCTGACACATATGCAATTCTTTATTTTGGTTACATACACAGCCTCTTCTACATATTTACTATAAAAATACGTCATCATTTATCTCACTTATGCCACTGCCGACCTACGAGTCGCATAATACTTACTTATTTTGCATACCAAACGATTTACCTACCTCAACTCAATTATGTAGACGCATTCACTTTACACAGTTATAAATTATATTGTGCCGCCCTCGCTCCGTTCACCTCTGACATTCTAAATACATTACTGAATACGTGCTTATTTATTTACTGTTGTGTGGTTCGGCCCGGCCGAAAATTATATTTTGGCCGGACCGTAATCGATAATGGTTAATATTTACTATCAGAATGTCAGGGGTCTGCGGACGAAGACGGTACAGTTTAAACGAAGTGTGCAACTACACAACTATGATATTGTGCTGTTAACTGAGACGTGGCTACTTGATGGAATTAGTAATAATGAACTATTCAGTGATGTGTATATGGTGTGGCGGCGAGACCGCGACTACTCGAGTGTCGGGCAGTCGCGCGGAGGTGGGGTCCTCATTGCGATCCGCCGTGACCTTGTAGCGCACGCGCGCCCCGAATGGCATTCTACAGCGGAAGATATTTGGGTTTCTCTTGATATTGGTGCGAACAAAACAAATAATTATCCTTTTACATTACATATTGGCTGTATATATTTATGCGAACAAAATCAGGGTTTATCTCTCGCCACGCAATTATCTAATTTTTCTGACAAAGTCCTTTCTGCCTGTGCTAGTAGTCCTCATGACAAATTTTTTATAGCCGGTGACTTTAACCTGAGCGATATTTCTTGGTGCTCGCTAAGTCACACTACTCATCTTACTCCTACATTTCGCAGTACTGATATCAATCATAGCGAAATACAAGACCTATTGAATATTTGCGACCTGAACCAATTTAATAACATTAGGAATCATAGGAGCGAGTTACTTGACCTAGTTTTGTCAAATAGTGATGTGTCGGTTTTCCACTGCACTGAACCACTGGTGGAGGAAGATGCTTACCATCCAGCCCTAATTTGCCACTTAAACTCCATTGAGCTACCTGATTTAAAGCCTCAGCCTAGACCCAAATATCTTTACAACAAGGGAGATTTTACCGCCATATGCACTGATCTTGACAACCAGGACTGGGATACCCTTCTGTCCTGTGGGACGGTGGACGATGCGGTCGAGTCATTTAACACTTTACTATGTACCTTAAGAGACAAGTATATACCGTCTAAATCTGTCCACCCGGGTCGATACCCAGTGTGGTACTCTCCTGCGTTGAAGAAAATCCTTAAAGAAAAAAATAAGGTTCATAAAAAACTTAGGATATATGGTAATAGGGCCGATTATGTCACATTCAAAGTTCTACGGGAGCGAGTAAAAAGGGTGGAACAGGAATGCTTTGATATTTATATAAAGAATACTGAACTTTCCATTCGTGATAATCCTAAAGCTTTCTGGTCCTACATACATGCTAGCTCGAAACATAGCTCGTATCCCTCCTCTATGACTATTGATAATAGTACCGTAACGTCAGGTGACGAGATCTGTAATGCCTTTGCCGAGTTCTTTAGCTCTAACTTTCTGAAACCGGGTTCTGAAACTAATGTTCCTCCCAGTGATACTTCGTTGTCGGATGTGACACTCTCGGTCTCTCCCGATATTTGCTCTATCGAAATCGTTGAAGAAAAAGTGTACAATATTCTAAAATCACTCGATTGCAATAAGTCGGCGGGACCAGACGGCTTGCACCCGGTCCTTATTTCAAGATGCGCGGAAAATCTGACTTTTCCTATTAGTTATTTGTTTAACCGTTCTATAAAAGAAGGTGTGGTACCTAGGATCTGGAAAACCGCGACCGTCACTCCTATTCATAAAAAAGGCCCTAAACGTGAGATTGCAAATTATAGACCAATATCCAAACTCTGTGTTTTAGCTAAAGTACTGGAAAAAATAATTCACGAACAAGTGTATGTTGCCCTCAAGCATGCTTTCATACCCCAGCAACATGGTTTCTTAAGAGGAAGATCTACAGCTAGCAATCTCGTGGCATTTCTGGATGACGTATCTCATGGTATGCAGTCCGGAGGCCAGATTGACACAATATATACAGATTATACCAAAGCATTTGACCGAATTGATCACGCGATCCTGCTCACTAAGCTACAGTCCGCTGGAATTCACGGGGATCTCTTTAGATGGTTTCGATCCTACATCGCGGATAGATGTCAGACTGTAGTTCTTAATGGTTTCTCTTCTAATTCACGTTTCTCCGCCATTCCATCAGGCGTTCCACAGGGTTCGATCCTTGGTCCACTGTTATTTATACTTTTTATAAATGACATTCATAAATGTTTCATTCATTCTCGGTGTCTATTATTTGCTGATGACATGAAGGTATACNTCAAATGAATCTTAGATTAAGTAAGGTTTATATCAAATGTCTTTATGCGTTGTGATTGGTATCTGAAATGATATTATTAGAAATGATTTATTATATGAAGTAAACATTATAATTATGTTAAAAAATTATATCAAGTGTTATTATACCATACGTTTATTATACAATATGAACGTTATTGAAATGAATTTATATAATATAAACTTATATAAACTGTCACGCACCCTCAAAAATCTCTATGAAGATTTTGTTTCTTGAAAATAGCCGCTAGGGGCGCTGTACAATATGTCATACAATTAATGTCATTTTCTTACGCAGTCGCTAGCGAGCACACCTAACGTAAACTCATGGTAAGCACACAGATGAATGTGCATGGTATGAAATGAAGTGGGTTTATCGTATCGTGTAACAACGTCACATTTATCAATCAATACTACTAGCGCCATCTCGTGGTGTTCGCCTGCATTACCAAGCCACCGCGGATCACCGTGCTTATTGCAAGATCTATTAAGTCTAGGAAATGTTTGCGCCGCTCGCCGCTAGATGCCACTAGCACATTGAGAGTCGATTTCTACACCGCGGTGTCCAGATTTTTTTTCTCTTAAAGACCTTTCGACGATTATGTTGAATATTGTAAGTTTTGTGAGGCGTAAGTAATAAGCCAAGGTTGCATCCGACTGTGACGTTCTTTCGGGGAATCACAGATTGGGACTTCCGAACGCCTAATTACAAGTTGCCAGCGATTCTCCCGCGTCTGTGTCCAACGTCCTTGCGGGAATTGGTCTACGGACGGGAGACGCCCGCACTTCATTTTTGTATCTGCCCCGTACTTTGAAATAAAAGTACCCCATTTTTGCATCAACGCGGTGTTGTTATTTGGAGCCCTTCACCCCGCTTGTCAGCCGAAAAACTCAACCCTACAAAACTGGCGACCAACGGTGGGCCTGACAAGCACCAGCCCAAATACATCACCAAGTTCGGCCGTGTCACCACCTATCCAGTAAGCAGCAACCAAAGCAAGAAGATGACAGTAAGCTTAACGAATGAGCAGTTCCAAGCACTACTTGCAAAACTTTCAATGAGCCGCCGAGGAAGCTTCGCTCAATGCACGGCAAGTTATGAAGGTGAGAAGAACCCCGAAACGGTTGAAGCATTTTTAGCGGCAGTAAGCATATTCAAGAAGATAGAAAATATCCCAGACCAGGAAGCTCTTGATGGAGTCCCACTATTACTCAAGGGTGAGGCTGCCATCTGGTGGCAAGGAGTCAAAACACAAGTGACTACCTGGGAGCAATTCGGGATTCGATTACGCCATGCATTTGCACCAAAGAAACCTGCGTACATCCTGTACCAAGAAATAGTCGGTGAAAAACAGCGCGATGACGTCACAACTGAAAAATTTGTAGCTCACAAAAGAATGTTGTTCGCGCAGCTGCCTTCACCACAACACACAGAGGAACAACAACTCGATATGATTTTCGGACAAATAAACCTCAAGACGCACGGAACGGCAACGTCGCAGTCGACCCATATTATTTGAATTATTTGGCGGGAAAATAGTTTTTGGCTTTTAATTCTGAAACTAAGAGGCCTAGAGATTTGAAATTATGTCTCGTGTGTACTTCAATTATAACGAATTATTTGATCTTTAAAACGCAACTCTAACTTATACGGTTTTAATAATCCACCGTGTGTTACGTGTCACCAGCTTACACATACGTATCGGTTCGTAGTTCGAAAACGGTTCGAAATAAAGCTTTGAAAGAATTGAAGTCGGGTTTTTTTATTCGACTTTAATTTATGAGATATAAAACATTGATGTAGCTTAAATATTTACGAAGATACAGATGTGTAAGCTGGAGACACGGTACTCCAGCTCGCACATAGTTTTTTGATCGTGGTTTTAACAGTATTTGAGCTAAAGTCTTGAAAAGTGGAAAGCCTACTATTTGGATTCGACTGTAATTTTTGAGGTATAATACATTATCGTAGCATAAATATTTACGAAGATACAGATGTGTCAGCTGGAGACACGTGTCCTCAGCTTACACATAGAAAACAACTCATAGTTATGAAGTTCTAATGGCTCTAATTGAATGACTGAGAGGTTTGATGACTCTAATTAGGCTTTTATTGATGGTATACTTGGAATTGCTCTAGGGCCAATGAGGAAGTTGGAGACATACACGTGGGCAGACGGCGGCCGGCGAGGGATAAGGACACCAGCAGCG